CAAGACGTACGCCGACTGCGTCCACTGGTGCCTCCCGGGCCTCCAGGACACGTGGAACGAGCTCCTCTACTCCAAGCTCTTCTACCCTTAGTTTTTTTATTACATACATAGTGTAAAACTAGCATCAAGTTTTGTTCCTAACTAAACAAAACAGACCACACTAAGTACAAGGTTCAACCACACTCAGTTCTTATTACAAGGTTCAACCATACTCAGTTCTTATTACAAGGTCTTCTACCCCTAGCACAAAGATATATGAGTCGTTCTATATTCTTAACGTTGTCTGTATCTGTATTTGGTATCCGAATGGCCTACCCGACTCATACATAAACCCTTCGAGTAGACGAAAATCCGCCATAATTTTTAGTCCTGCTACTGTCAAGAGTAGGGGACAGCCCCTCTTATTTCATAAAAACAAAAGTGGCCATGAGATGTTGCTACAGATAGGCGAACATCAATCTTTTCTGCTTCAAATTTTGTTTTGAACTATGGATCAGTTCAAATCAAATGAGTTTTGGGCTGATTTAACGATATAGACGTACCATAACTTGCATTCTTAATGTTAGCTTATGACCAAGAAAAAATAGTTTCAATGGAAGTGTGCATGCAAATATAATCCTTGGTGATCACTTATTATATGGTGATGATTACGATGATATCAGGGTTGTTGTAACTGATGATACAGTGGTCTCTTTTGTGTCTTGGCTTTCAGGTACTTTTGCTCTACTAACAAACACCAGATCCACCACCTTCTTTAAAAATAAATAGGACATCTACATGATGACAAATGCAAGACATATCATAAAGCGATCAAGCATATGGTACATGTTCCTAATAAGAGTGTTATGATATTAATGAAGAGAATATTAGGTACAAGTGTTGATAGTCCCACCAATTTCGCAATGTTATGATTCATGTTGTACACTTGCCTGCAATTTTTCGGCCACTTTGTTAAATAGTCAATGATATTTGGTCCTACATCTTCTTCGTTTATTTGTCTCAGCAAATTGGCCATCTACCATATCTATCACCCATGGCTACAAGACTACAACTTGTATGTATGCATGAACAAAGCACTACGATTCCTAATAAGAAAGGAGAAAATGCATATATGGAAACAAGATCAAGATTCAAATCCTTACAAATTAGTATAAGTTTAAACTAAGTTATAATATCTCATAGAATAATCTCATTCTTCAAAACTAGAACTACTCTTTCGAAACAAGACCTAAATGGTTTCTTTTACAAGACCTAAATGGTTTCTTTTTGAAGGTTCAGCAGGGGAGGCCCCTACCTGTATTTTTTGTATATATGCAAGAACAAAGAGAGATGGTATTTACAAAGTCATACAAGGATCGAAGAGCCCAAAGGAAAAAATGAGGGAAATGCTAAGAAAAGTTCTCTCTCCACAAACTTAAAGCCCCTCTTATTTTCTACTTGGCTTTGATACAAACCAACCGCTCTTCTTTGAATGTGACTTTCCAATTTGGAAGGTCGTAGGCTCGTAGCTCTTATTGTCAAAAATGACTCCATTACTAGTTGTCCAGATAGCCCAGCAAGCCATGATAACAATTTCTCTCAAGATGAGACTGCCAAAGGTTGTTCTCGCTTCTATCATCATGTCCAGAGATTGAAGACTCAAATCCCAATGGATTGACAGGGAGTTCCAACAAGAGCTGCAAAAAGGACATTCATAAAACAGATGGAAGCTAATTTCCTCACTAACACTATTGCATAAAACACAATTATAGCAGTCCAAAAATTTGTTCTTTCTCCATCCAAAATTTGCATAAAACACAAAATGAAACAATATAAGATCGAGCTACCTTACTCAACATATGATAATTTTTAGCAATAGCATAAGGAAGTTTAGGTATAAATTTGATTATTTTGGGTAAATGAGCGAGAAGATTGAATTAATCAGACTTAATTTAGTTAGTTACTTCTATAGAGTGAATTAGAGATGAAAAAACATATTCAGTCGCATTTGGTTAATTATGCCCACTCTATATATCGATGGACCAAAGAAGATAGGCGTGAGCGAGGACCGATAGACCAACACAGAACCCTAGGCCTTGGACTACTGTCGTGGTTCTATGTTTGCCACCTGTCAAAGCGAGAAGGCTAGGAGCATGGGACGACGAACTGAAGGACGAAAGGAGAGGAGTGAGAGCGAGGGATAATGAGACACAATAGTGAGCTCCTCAATGCGGCGGAAAGGCCCCCGTGTCGCCTCCGTAGGGCGACTCGGTCGGCACCCAGCGCCACCACCGCCGAGTGCCTCAAGCCGCGTCGTCCGCTCTGTCGCCGCTTGAGCAGGCATGGGAGGTCCGGCTGGGGGCAAGGATGGCGGCGGCAGGGCTCCAACGCTTTGGGTTTGCAGATCAAGGTCGCGGCTCCGCAAGATGGAAGATTCGCAGTCTCCCGTGCGTCGCGGGTGCGCTGTCGTCCCTGGTCTCCCTCCTCGCCAGTCACCACCTACGCAGTGGGCAACGAGGATTCGTGGCCGGGCTGCGGGCGGAGGAGCGGCCGGATCCGACGTCTCCTCGTGAGGATTGGTCGCCCCCTTGTGGATTTGCATCTTTGGCCACGATTCTGCTGGATCCAGTTCCGAGCAGCAGATCTGACATCCCGGTGGCCGGATCCGGCCTTCCGGGGCCTGATCTGGCGCTGCTGCGGTGGTAGTGGCATGCGACGCCGGCGTTCGGCTGTCACCGGCTTCGGTGATGGCTGGCAGTTGGCTAGGCTACGTTGATGCAGATTGGTGGCGTGGTAGTGCGGCCTGGCGCCGTCAGACATCGTGGTGATGTAGGCAGCTACGCGGGTTGTGCGGCGTCGACACCGTGGTGGCGTGGATGGCGGCATCCTGCTTGTCGCATCTACCACGCCATGGCGGCGAGGCAGGCGTTGGTCGAGCAGGCCACATCAGGCTCTCCCAGTTCGGCGACAACGACGGTGGCTGTGCGGCATGACGGTGTGGGCGGCTTGGGGCCGACGGAGGTTGCTAGAGGCTACGCGTGGCGTGGTTGATGTGGGGCCGGCTCGGCAGGGGTCGAGATGTTGGTGGGCTGGGCGACTAGGGCTTCTTCTGATCACGACCCTTTTCTCCCCGCCATCTGCCTTCCCTCTTCCTTGGGTTGTGGCTTCCGTGGCGAAGCTGGCCGGATCTTCTCGCCGCTGTCCAGTTTTACCGGTTCCAACGAGTGGCGGACTCCTCGGCGGGCTTCTCCCGGCGCTTCTCTTGGCTGACCCTCTAGGGGCGGAGCTGCTACTGATCCATCATTGCACCCTACCTCCCCGGTAGGGTTCGGTCTCCTGCAGCGATGGTGTTGGAGGTTTCTTGAGATCGGGGCGAAAGCTTGGATGACGACGTTTACGGACGTCGTTCCCTTCTTGGAGGCGTCCTTTCCTACCTCTCCTCCTACTATCCTGGATGTTGTAGGTGAAAACCTTCCCATGGCGGGCTACCTTGTCGACGCTTCAGCCTGGGCGTTCGGTTTTAACTGACCGTTCGGTTTGGTTTTTTCGGTTTTTCAAAATTTCGGTTTCCAGAAAATGACTCCCGATCGGTTTGCTAAAATTCCAAAAACCGACCAATTTCGGTTCGGTTTTTTAATTTGGTTTTTTGGTTAAAACCGAATAAACCGAATATCAGACAGGAATTAGAACTGACAGCACAACACAGTACAAACTTGCACAGCACAGTATATTATTTGAAGACTCAAGACTGTTACAAACTTAACAATTCAATGCTCAAATCAAATATTACAAATTTACAGTTCATTCTTGATAATAAACCACAGTACTCCATCAGTTTTGATAAACAACAGGAAAAAAATATGTTTCTCGGTATTTCGGTTTTTCGGTTCGGTATGGCATAGAAACCGAAACCGAACCGAATTACCGAACTTCACAGAACTAGAAACCGAAACCGAACCGAAAAACCGAACTTCCGACTATTCGGTTCGGTTTTGATTCGGTTCGGTTTCGATTCGGTTCGGTTCGGTGTTCGGTTTTCGGTGAAAAACTGCCCAGGCTGATCGACGCTTTTAGCGTCGTTTCCTCCTTGGAGGCATGGCTAGGCTTTTCAGTTCCGCAGTTGCTCCTTTCCTATTGTTTGGTGTCGCTCAGCTAGTCGTGTTTTTCTTCTTCTGTACTTGTCAATTGTTTAGTGGTGTTGTTTTTAGTTGGGTCGTTTCAACCAAGTTGAAGGGAGTTGTGGCGTGAGTTGTGAGTCCAGTTATTGTACCAAAGTGGTATAGGTTGAGTGGAACACTCTCCTCAGTTGTATGATTTTTTGGTCCAGTTTCTATTCAAAAAACTGAGCAGGCACTTGTCTTTTTTCTTTCTTCATCTAATAAAAATCGCGGCAAAACTGTTGCCGTCCTTTCTAAAAAGAGTGAGGGATAATGGATCAAGTGGCGGACTAAAGAAAGTACAATTATACTTTACTATTAGATAGTATATACTAGCAACATATATATTTGTAGAAGAGGTGTTTGTGCTATAGAATGTAGGCATTGCGTGCAAAATGACTGACAAGTGAAGGGGGGAAAAACGAAGGAATAGAGCATAAAACAAGGGTCTATAACATCCTGGTAGCACAAACTGAATTTTAGAGCGTGAGGATAAGTGGTGCAGAGGCAACGAGCAGCAGGATCATCATCTGCAGGTAGCCGCGGCGCTCTCCTAGCCTGCCAGCGGCCCCGTAGCCGTAGCAGTACTCCTTGCCCTCGCCATATCCGGCGCCTGCTCATACGGCTGCTGGCTGCCCTCGCCGTAGTACCGGCCGCCGACTGGCTTCTCCTGCTCGTGGTCGCGAGACTTGTGGTAGTAGGACTCGTCGGCGCCGCCGACGCATTCCTTGCGCTCCCTGATCTCAAAGGTTGCTGCGCACGTCGGAAGACAGCGTGGTCAGTCGTCGTCAGATATGCATGCATGGGGAATCGAAGAAGGGGTCAAAGCATGCATCAAGTGCAGCAGAATGACAGTGTGTTTACCTCTGTCGGGGCCGTAGCTGCATCCCGCGCCGAGCGCCTGCTTCACCGCCAGCACCGACGCGCCGTTGGAGAACTTGAAGCTCTCGGCGGCCACCTCCTCCACGCACTGCAGCGCCAGCTGCGTCTCCTCCAGGCACGGCCCGCCGCAGTACTCGTCCACCTCGTTCCTCTGCACGTGGAACGCGCCCTCCACGTTCAGCCTGAACTCCTCCGCGCACTGGCTGTAGATCTGGGCACTCATTGGTGTGTGCCATACATGTACATATATATGCTCACGCATTTGCTGAAAGAGATTCAATGTTATACTGACATTTAGTGTTGATGTCTTACATTGGGGTCATCGAAGCAATGGCACGCTCTCTCGAACAATTCCATGGCTTCTTTGCCTGCAAGTAAATACAATATGGAGTGAAGACATTACGTTCCAAACTTAGCCTATTTCAGATTTCCTGGGATATTTCAGGCATTTTCCCTTCAGTATCCAAGAAAATGTCAGAGATTATGAATTCCTGGCTGTTCGAAACAGCAAAGTACGACTACACTCACTGGAGGAGCAGCATGGGATCAGTATGCAGATGGCGAAGGCTAGGGCTAACAAGCTACCACTTCTTTGAAAGGCCATTGAGTAATATGATGAGCTGATGAACAGCGCTGGTTAGGCTTAGGCTCGCTATTGCCTCTAAATTAGCCTGTGGCAGATCGGTTATAAATATGTGGCCATTTGAGCATTGCATGTGGGTGTTGAGGCTACAGATTTTTTTTTTTTTTACTAACCTATAGTTCGACTCATACTCCAAAGGATGCTCAATTGCACACTCCTCGCTAAACTTCTCCGGAAGAATTGCCTATACTCTAACTTTTGAGCAATGTAATTTGCTCAACAGAAAAAACACGAGCAATTGTACGCATGCTGCTGTTAACTTGTATGCAATAAGGTTGGCACAAACCAATGGGCTAGTAGTGCTGAGATATCATCTCCAGAAGCTCTGAATCAGCTCCTTGATTTCAACTTTTCAAGAGCTCCAATAAAGAAAATTTAAGTAAATACTTACTCTGTTCCAAAAAGAGTGCACATTTAGCTACAGTGTAAATCAACTTCAATTTAACCAATCTTCTATAAAAATATACAAATATTTGTGACATCAAATAAGCACAATTTGATTTACCATAAAATATTTTTCATAGCTAAATTATTGGTATTCTTTTATAATTTTAGTCAATCTCAAAATTGTTTGATTTGGACTATATATCTAGAAGTACACTCTGTTTTGGAAGGAGAGAGTAGTGTTTTGTGTGCTATATGTACATAACCCGTTTGTACAACCATGCCAGGGCAGGAGAGCAAATGGCTTTATCACTTGGGTGGTGCCGTGGTGGTTTACATGTTAATTGAAGGATTTGGATGACCTGGTTGCAATGCGCGCGGTTGCTTGTATGTACCAGTGCGTTGTGTGTGAAGCTCCTTATATTTACCTTACGAAAATGCTAAATATTTTTTTCAGCGGAACCGCCCGTCCGCTGGCGCACGCGCCGCTGCCGCGCCAGCACCAGCGCCCGCGCCCGCGCCCGCGCCCGCGCCCGCGCCCGCGCCGCCATGCCCGCACCCTCCTGTCCCCAGCCCGCGCCGCTGCTGCGCCCGGCATCAGAAACCAACTCTGGCGAGCTTTTTCTTCCTCAACTCCGGCACCACCCCAAATTTTGTCTCTGTCTTTTCATAGAAAAAATTGTTATTTTGTTATCTGTGATTTGTTACTTGTAATCTGTGATTTGTGCCAAGAAGGAAGATGAATAGCAACCATGTGGGAAAAATTTGGGCGGAGCCAGGTGCTAAAACACACGGTTGTTAGGTTACACACTCACGTTAATTTGGTGCTAGTCTACAAGCACTCGACAAACCGAAGCTTTCTCCCATATTTCGATTTACCGTACCGGAGGAAAACGAGTAGTGTAGCCAAGGAAGAGTAATGCCTTCACTCTTGCCAAGTCAAAACTGACATTCTTGGTCGCTAGGACTATCCTGAATTTTTCTTACCCAAATCTCTGTCGGATCTAACGGGCTGACAGCAATCTGATCACCGAGTGGCATGCTATAACCTTACTTGCACGGAAACATTTTTTTTGACAACCACTGCCAATCAATCAAGGTATTCAATATTGATATCGCACTTGCATGTTTGATGCTTTATGTTGTTGTACGTACCTTATAGAGGAGGCTTCTGTTGGTAATTATAATATTTTCATTTATAATACTTCCTATTAGAGGGCTGTTGAAGTCCCCGGGCCTGAATAACGCAGGCGTAGTGTTTCTCCAGTGGGCATCGGTGCTGAGGACACCGGCACACAGGGATGGTCGGCGACTGGTCATATGTGGATTAATTAGGAGAGAGGGAGAGTCATCTTAACGTGACCTCTTAGTCTTATAGCGTGGGTTTAGTCCGTTGGAGTGCCCCCGATGAGGGTCATTACATGGTTATTAAGCCCTTTTGACACGGTCTTTATTGACCACCTGAGATCATTTCAACATTCTCCCGTTTAATTGAATGGCTTAGTAATTCAATATTTTCACTCCCATTCTAAATAGAACGGAGGCAAGTCTAGGGGGGGGGCGAATAGACCTGTTTAAATGTTAAAACTCAATGTAGTGGTTAGCACAGGCGTGGCAGTTCCGCACCTGGTATGGGAAAATTAGATCGAGTGAAATACTAGTGTTTCTAGTAGTAGTTAGGTCCTATTTCACCATTTCTCTAAGGTTGGAAGCTCTTGTACAAGTAGATCGAGTGGAAACCATAATTTCACAACCAACATAAAGTAGAGCACAAAGATAACAGCAAGAAAACAAAGGACAAGGTATTTATCGTGTGGTTTGGCTTACCACAAAAGCTGACCTACCTCCAAGTTGTTGAGGAAGCCACGAAGGCTTAGGTTTCACCAAAGAGCAAGTCTCAAGCTTGAGGGTTCTTACTAGATTTTCAAGGTGAGTACAAACTTTCTGGAGCAGACACAAGAGGTTGTAGTGCTTCAACAGGCAACGCCTAGCCATCTAGGAGCTCTTGCTCCAAGAGTAGCAAATGCAAGATGCCGACTTGAACGCGAACCAAGTGCTCTAGGAGTTAAGCTCAAGATGGCAAGCTCTCTTACGAATTTAGGAGGCCAATCTCTCAAAGAATCACTAGGGATTAATGGGAGTGGAGGGAGGGCCTTCAATGGCTTGGGAGAGCTTGTCTGCTGGTTATTGAAGAGTGAATATCCGAGTTAGCCGTTGGGAGGTAGAAGAAAGGGTATAAATACCCCCAATGTGCCAACTAGCTGTTAAGTCGCGGCAGCTTGTCTGCGGGTTACTCAAATTCATATTGTTATGCTCTATTGGATGATTTGCTTAGGAGCATTTAAGGTTGTATGGGCCCCTTTGGCATCGCTGCGGCGGCTCCACTCCACGTGAGAATGGGCGGAGCGCTGCCAAACGCCCCTAGCATGCAATGCACTGTCCAAGAATCGCTCCCACCGCTCACCGTTTTTGCACTGCCTCCCCACCGATTCACTTCGCTCCCCTAGTCTCTGGTCCTGCTCCCACCACCGCCTCCAAGTCTGCCACTACAAGAAAACCGAACATCAACGCTCCACTGTTTTTGCACTGCCTTCCCACCGATTCACTTTGCTCCCCTCGTCTCTTGTCCTGCGCCCACCATCGCCTCTAAACCTGCGCTACTCGCCGTCATCGTCACCTCTGAGCCCACGCCTGCTATCGCCATTGCCTCCAAGCTTGCCATCGCCGAGATCCAGCCGCCACCGTTGAGATCGAGCTCTTCCGCCACTGCCGAGATGCCCTCTTCCCCTCACCGTGACCTCCGAGGTCGTGGTCGCCGTCGCCTTTGAGCCCACGTCGGGCATCGCCGTTGCCTCCGAGCCCATGCCCGACGTCAGTGTCGCCTCTGAGCGCCAAGATCTAGCTTGTCATCCTCTTCTTCTGCCAAATTAGGAGCTAAAGTTGTTGCAAGAGCTCTACTAAACGATGCTGCTTCGACCTAGGAGCGCAAGGGAGCAGGAGCAGCGATGAGCTAGAGTTGGAGCGGGTGGGAGTGGGTTGAGAGTCCTACCATAGGGCCCTATGTCTAGGTATAAGATGGTTGTACTATATTTTTAATATATTAATATATACATTAGTTTTCAAAAAAATCTAGTCATGTGCTGCCGAGCGATTTGTAAAAATGGGACTCGAAACATCAGTCGTTTACAGATTTGACACTAGACCCACATTCATAGACACAGATGGACCCACTTTTCATCCACCCGACTGTCATCCTAATTAAGGAGTTCATCTTTCGAATGTCATTTTTGCAATTTTTTCTGTGCTGCCATAATCCATTCAACTCTATCCTCGTTTGTACTCCCTCTCTCTACAGGCTCAGAACTGCCCTCGCCTAGAGAGGATTGGAATGGCCTCCAGCTGGGGATCGGAACGGCCTCTCGCCTAGAGAGATCGGAACGGACGAATCAACGGCACGGCGCAGGCGCTCGGCTCCACACAGTGAAGAGCAGCAATACGGCGACGATGGCGAGCGAGTGGCGTACGTCAAGGGACAACTGGTGGTAGGTCCTCCTCGGCTCCACACCTGACTGGTTCCTCTTCTTCTGCCAAATTAGGAGCTGAAGTTGTTGCAAGAGCTCTACCAAACGATGCTGCTTCGAGCTAGGAGCGCAAGGGAGCAGGAGCAGCAATGAGCCAGAGTTAGAGCGGGTGGGAGTGGGTTGAGAGTCCTACCAAAGGGGCCCTATGTCTAGGTATAAGATGGTTGTACTATATTTTTAATATATTAATATATACATTAGTTTTCAAAAAAATCTAGTCATGTGCTACCATAATCCATTCAACTCTATCCTGGTTTGTACTCCCTCTCTCTACAGGCTCAGAACTGCCTCTCGCCTAAAGAGGATTGGAATGGCCTCCAGCTGGGGATCGGAACGGCCTCTCGCCTAGAGAGATCGGAACGGCCGAATCAACGGCACGGCGCAGGCGCTCGGCTCCACACAGTGAAGAGCAGCAATACGGCAACGATGGCGAGCTCGTGGCGTACGTCAAGGGACAACTGGTGGTAGGTCCTCCTCGGCTCCACACCTGACTGGTTCCTACACGTCCTTCCTCTCCTGTGCGTCGATAGCATTCTTCTCCTGCCAAAACGGCCTGATGCCACACGCAAGCCGTCGTTTTTTTTTTACAACAGCCGTCGCTACATCGTTGTAATAATACGTACAACGGGCGCCGAGATGTCAATTTGGCATGGGATCATGAGTCTGAGCCGTCATCTCATGAGACGACGAGCTCGTTGTCTCACATGTCCGTTAGACGTGTTTTTGCAAGAATGACCACACAGAGACAGCTCGGAGTGTTCTAGTGACCTAACCTATGTCCGTCGATTAGTCTTTTGTGTACTTCAATCCACAAAAGAATATAACTATGGTATCTATGTTGTGTTGTGACGGTCGATCTAGCTTAAGCTTGATTAAATTTATAGTAAATAGTATTAGTACTTAAGTTTTTAAATAAATTTATTATAAAAATATATTCTATAACTAATCTAATGATACTTATTTTGTATCATGAATATTTGTTATAAATTTGATCAAGTTCAGAAAGGATAATTTAATTACAAATTGAAACAAATGTCGTCTATATTTAATTTTACAGTCGCATGCTTCAAGTAAAATCTTCACTGATGGCAAAATGAAAATCACTAAACTTTGCTACACAGAGAAAGAAACGAATAACAGCTTGCAATGTTTAGGCACAATAACCATTTCGATCCCTCAACTATTACTCGAGGTTCAATTTCATCCTTAAACTTTCAAAACGGCCATTTATGTCCTCAAATTTTAGTTTTAGGCTCAATTTCATTCTACAATTATGAAGATATTCATTTCAGTCCTCAAATTTTACAGTTTGGGCTCAATTTCATCCATAAATTATCAAAGTGCATTTAACTTTTATTTTCAACTCAATTTTGTCTATTCAAAAAAGAAAACTTTATATTTTAGGCATAATTTCATCCATAAATTATCAAAATTATAGATCTTCTATTGTTTTCAATATATCCATGTATTGTTAAAGAATAAGTAGTGTTCGATGCAACTGTAATTGCTCCGACAAATATCATTTAGTCGGATATATATAAATAGTACTATTATAAGGTAACGTTAAAAATAACCGCTTGGAATTATTAATGGCCACGAAAGAGTTTTTGGATGAATATTATTTTTCTATCTCCAACCGTTGGTGGTTTTGGAGCTAACCAGGTGCAACAGTGCAACGTTCCACGTAGAACGTAGACAAAGTTGAGTTGAAAATAAAAGTTTAAAGAACAAAATACACTTTGATAGTTTATAAATGAAATTGATCCCAAAATGTAAAGTTTGAGGACTAAAACGATCATCTCCATAATTCTATGATAAAATTGAGTCTAAAAGTAGAGTTTGAGGACTAAAACGGCCGTTTTGAAAGTTCAGGGACGAAACTGAGTCTCGAGTAATAGTTGAAGGACCAAAATGACTATTCTTCCCAATGTTTACAATATTGTTCAGCCTGTTCGTTTCGGCTAGATTGGCTTATAAGCCATGACTGAAAGTAATGCTGGCTAGTTTGGTATAAGATAAAAATATTATTCATTGGCTGATAAGTCAAGGCTTATAAGCCGAATACAGGCTGCTTATCTCTAATCAGTTTCATATCAAAGCCACAATAGCCGCAGTAGCCAAATACACGTAAGTCCATAGCATTGAGGGAAATCTGCTGGTGAGGCTAGCCATGGGCCCATCCGCGCTGCTGGTTAGCTCATCAAGATTGCTTACTGCCACGTGTGAGCCTGCAGGTCAACATTGCAGATGTCAGATGTGACTTGCTGGTCAACATTGCATGCGTGGGAATGGCATTTCATTTGTTCATCCCATTTTAATCCGCTATATTATGTTTCGTTTTTGCTTTAATTATACTCCTTTATAGTACTATTTTTTGTCTGAAATTACTAGCATACTGCTTTTTTTTTCTTTTTTTGCGACTTAGCATATTGCTTTCTTGCTAAACAGATTGTCTATCTACTGCATGCTTCCTCCTCACCATAAATAACTGTTGTTTTTTTATCCTTTTCGTAAGTTTGACTATATTTATAGAAAATACGTGGAATATTTGTATCTTCAAATAAATTTATTATAAAAATAAATTCAACGATCTATCTAATGATATTAATTTTGTATTATAAATATTATTATTAATTTTTATATATTTAGTCAAAATTGTTTCATAAAAAACGAAAATAATAATTATTTAGGGACGAAGAGAGAATAAACTATAAACAAGCAGGATTTGCTTGAAAAAATGGTGATCATACCTCCGTTAGGATTCGTAGAACCACCAGCAGTAATGGCACTGTTGGCCGTATTGCTGCCACCGCTGGCACCAACGGCATTGCCGGCGCCGCCAGCGACACCACCACCAGCACCACTGGCACCGCTGGTACCTCCTCCACCAGCTCCGCCGCCAACGCCGGCGACACCTCCACTACCAGCTCCACCAGCACTCCCGGCACCTCCACCACCAGCGGCACCGGTAGCACCTCCACCACCACCACCACCGGCGGCACCTCCACTACCACCGCCACCCTGCTGGTTGTTGCCAACGTTGCCGCAGGACATCTGGAAGACGGCCTGGACGCCCTGCATGAGGCCAGGGCTGTAGCCCTGGATGTTGCCTAGGATGCCGTTCACGCAGGTCATCATCAGCATCATCTGCCCGAAGCACGGCCCTTGGCACATGATCGCCGTTGACCCGCTGTTGCCGTTGCTTCTGCTGCTGCCGCCACTGCCGCCGCCACCGTTGCTTCTGCTGCTGCCACCACTGCCGTTGCTACTGCCACCGTTGCCGTTGCCGCTAGCGCCGCTGCCGTTGACATTGATGCCCATTGCTTGGAGGCACTCATTTATCACCTGTCAGGCGACGTTTTCTTTCTTCAGTAGAGTGCCCATTTGCATTTTTCTTTTCCATATGTACATTTATCTAGTAGAATCAAATACATGTGCAAAAAGGCAAAGAAAAGCTATTCGGAGGAAGGGGTCATTCTCTGCTTTGTAGAATCTTTTATCCTTACTGTAACTATCTTAGTTTGGTCACAAAATAAAATTGTTTACTGAACGTATGATGAATTAGGGACTTCTGCGGTTATTTATTAGCAGTAAGCCAGTAATGGTATAGGGATTAGGGGGTGATGTATGCTCCACGGTGAACTAGGAAAGGAGCAAACATTACTAAACTTAGAAGGGGGTTGTAAAAACGAATTAAAATGCATGGCCTACCTAATAAGCTGGGAGATTAACTAGCTATCTTATGCAAAGGATTATATTGGTGATAAGCATGATTGGTGCAGATCTACAGTCATTGGGAATTGGGATGTTATAGTCAGAAGGAACCTTGTTTATGTGGTACCCTCACAGAGAGCAGTTGATGTGATGAATTGAGCTTAATTAGAATGCAGGCCAAAGAATCGTTACCTGTCTATTGTCAAAGCAGAGAGCAGCCTGTGACACAATCTGGATGGCATCCTGTGTCCCCGGCACCACAGCACCACCTGCCGCGCCCCCTGCACCACCACCAGCTGCTCCTCCTGCGCCACCAGCACCAGCACCACCTCCTCCTCCTTGTCCTGCATTGCGCATAAAAACAACAAAGTGTTCAGTAAATTATACATGCTTGTCAAGTGTCATTTGTAGATCTGGATGCCTTGTTTTGGAAGTCCTTAGCATCTGTGAAAAAGACACAAGAGCTGGTTTTTGTTTGGCAAGGCTTAAAATTCTGACAGATTAAATTTAAGTATTGTATATATAAACCTCTTTTTTTTGCAAAAAGAAGAGGAGCACTGTATAAAACTAAGTTTTAACCCCCTCAAGTAAAGTCGAAGTAAGGAATAGCAATAGTCAGAAGAAGGAAGTGGTAAATTAGCCATGCATGCTTCGTACGGCAACAAACATAAACTGTTGTGAACTGAAGATAGATTACCTCTGCAACAAGAGATGGCCATCGATGAAAGCACAACTGCGAAACACAAATGCCAAAGCTTGAGTGCTACCATGGCAGCTAGCCAGCTACTAGCTTTGAGTGTGTGAAATCTCACACCTTTATGGTCACACTCGCTACCTAGCTAGCAGCATTATATGCAATCCTTGTGTATGTTAAAGCCTGCTGGCTTCAGCAACAATGACACTGGGAAATGGACTGCATTCTCCTTGAGAAACATGGGATGCATATACTATTTATGTTGTGAAATGCGATTCCAGGAACCAATTGGATCGGAGGTACGGTGTTTGGAACCGTACCTAGAGCTGGAAATTAAAATGAGTGAGCCGGTGTTTGGTACTCAAGAACCCAACTACTTTCGCTTGTTACTTAGACTTTGGTTTTCCTTGGGAGTGTGCATAAATCATACCTAAACAGGCATAGCAGCTGGTTTTGCATGGTTCCTGCCTGCCTAGTTTCTATTGACTACGATGTTGGACGACGTAGCACTAGTACAGTTCTGATGTTGAAGTCGAGGGCTTCCATTGGACGCTCTGCTTGTATACTGTAAGTAATCTAGCTCGTGCCGCCGGTATGTAGAAGTAGAATGGCACACGATGTTAGTACGGTTGCTAAACCACTCTAGTCGTCAAGAGTGAAGACTCAAGAGTGACATTTATTTGTATAATCCCGTGACGACTGACGAGGTAGCTAGGTCACTGACGATGAAGTACGACGTTCAAGTCCGGAGGTTTAAAGTACAACTACGCTGCATTGGTCGATTCATCTAGGACGTGTTCTCTACTAGCTATACCTATGAAACTAGGAGGGTTGTTCGTCGCCCCTCACCCTGCAGCCCTGCACGGATCAGTGTCGTCTCAGCCGCATGCATGGTGATCGCGCAGGGCAGGGCACGCATGGCTGACATCGCCATGGCGTCGGAGGAGATGAGACGGAGCCCACCTATTATTATTATTAGCACAACTCGAGTGACGACGGCGGCGGCTTTAAATTTGTGTTTTTACTAATTACTATATATATATTATTCTGACGATGAAGATGGGTACGCGTCGTTGAGCTCACCCTTGACCGCTCGGCGAGCACACCGTCAGGGACGTAGGATCTAGCTAGATGCCGCCGTGCCACCTACATCCTGTGCGTTTTCCACTCCATCTACCAAACGGATCCTACCTACAACGCGACCATAAACCTGTTGGCTGATGGGAATCAGAGTATCAGACCAGTCAGGTGCTCTAGAACGTGCTTGCATTTTCGCTCCTATATTTCAATTAATTTAGTAGTAGTACTACTCTTCTATCTCTAGAGGATCTGGATGCCCCCTTCACAGAGAGGCGGTAGTGAAAGACATGCCCTCTAAAAAGGCACCGGGCCGGACGGCTTCATCGGCGTCTTCTACGAAAGATGCTGGCCTATTATAAAGGCAAATTTAGTAGAGACTGTCATGAGTTTTTACAATCACCGTACAGTAAGACTGAATTTAATCAACGAAGCAAATATAGTACTGGACTGAATTTAATCAACGAAGCAAATATAGTACTTTTGCCCCAAGACGCAAGATGCGGCAGCTCTAACAGATTACAGGCCCATTAGTATGATCAATAGTGTGGTCAAAATCATCACGAAAATTCTTGCAAACAGCCTAGCACCACACATGAACTCCCTAGTGTCACACGCTCAAAATGCCTTCATTAAAAAAAGATGCATCCATGATAATTTCATTTATGCACAGAGAGTGATTCAACTACTACATAAAAAGAAAAGGTCGGCATTGTTCATCAAATTAGATATTTTAAAGGCTTTCGATTCAATAGGTTGGAGTTTCTTGCTAGAGGTAGTACAGGCCTTGGGCTTTAGCACAAAGTGGAGGGATTGGATTGCGGCATTACTAGGGACAACAACATCGAAAGTGCTGATCAATGGGGAGCCAACCCAAGGTATCAGACATGCACGGGGATTAAGGCAGGGTATCCCCTATCCCCCCTCCTCTTCATTTAGATAAACCTGTTGGCAGATGGGATCAGAGTATCATCAGACCAGCCAGGTGCCCTAGAATGTGCTTGCATTTTCGCTCCTATATCAATTATATTAGTACCAGTAGTACTCTTCTATCGAGTGAAAAAATAAACTAGTTGTACGCAGGTTGGGACAACCTAGATTTTCTTCTTTCTTTTTACTATGTTCCTCTTTCACATAAATTGTTTTATGTCCCTCTATACCTTTTTTTATGAGGAGAATTTTTCTCAGTCCTATCTACCTATATTGTTGTTGTTTAGTACTTATAATACAATAATGCTCTCCTCGGGACATCCGACCGTCCAGATGCCGCATCCTTCATCATCTTACGATGGAATCACCGTCTCGAGGCATCTCGTGGTTGGATGCTCTGGAGAGCATCCTGGCAGATCTAAAGTCGACGTCCGCAAGTTCAGTGTCAAGCACCGCAGTCATGATTCTAACATAGTGTGATCTGCGCATCTCGATTACGACGAGTGATGCTGGCCGTCGCACGCGTCAGCGACCGTAGATCCTGATCAAATTCGACTCCGACATGGCTACAAGATGGGAATCTCCTGTGATAACGCCCCGGCCGGAGGGCAAGTTTAAGTCAACTTCAAAGCCAGACATGCAAATCGCGACATCAGGGCTGATCGAGCAAAACAAGGTCGTGTTCAAACCGACGCCATCCATGATGATGCAAACAAGCAATCTATTGAGGAAATTGCATGTACATGTTACCATCTATAAGGCATGCACGTATACAGCTCATGTCCGCAACAACTCGGCCTCTACTACAACTCGAGTGCCACGTCTAGGTGCGCCACTTTGTTCCGCTCGTGGACCACTTGGTCGGCGGCATCATCGACGAGTTCTGATCGAGTCCGAGTATGATTCCGACTCCTCGCCGAGTCCGAGTACCCACTCCGACGTACTCCAGTCCCGGACTTCACCTCCCATAGTAGCGGCCGTCGCCGAGTAGGAGGCACTCGGCTGTTACTTTCTGCAAGGTTCCCGGCGTCGAAGACTAGCGCAGTCCGCCCGCAGCCAACGACGGCTTACTCGGATCACGAAAGCAGTCTGCATGTGTGCATTAGTTGATGACAAGCAAGGATAACGATGATCGTCAACATGCAAAGGACCTACGCACGTACTCGTACGATGGTTCCTACAGGCAAACAAAGGCCACGTACACGTACGATGGCTCCAACAAGCAAACAAAGACCACTCAACCTCCAGAGTCTGCCGATTCTGTTCGGCTGAGCCCTGACTCTGTTTATACTCGGTAACTACTCGGCCTGTTCAATAATCTACGGGAAGCAGTTCCGACTACTCGTCTGCGGTGTCTGACTACTCTGACGCAACGCAGTGTCCGACTACTCTGCAACGCTGACCGACTACTCAGTCGGGGAAACCGACTACTTGGCCACGAAAGTCAAGCTGATGCTCGGGCGCTCCTAAGCTCAAAACGCAGGATCATGTGCTGATTCTACCACGCGGCCGACGATCAAGGTAAGTCATGCTTAAATATTTTTCTAAATATTCCTTAATTCTTATATATCCCTGGATATTACACATGCACCTCCACGGACATACAATAATTGCATTCCGACTACCCATACAGCTCCGAGTTTCTGGTCGGAACTACACCTAATGGATGTACAACACGTGCTCTGCGTGCATTCTGTTTCTTTGCGCAGCGCCGACTGTTCTCGTCTTCTCTTAATGGTTGTACAAATACTTGAGTAATATAAACTCACATTTGTGGCGCACTATTTACTCGCACGGCTCACATGGCTACGGTCATGAACCTCCCGACCATACGTCGGAGATACAAGTGCTTACAAATACGGGGTCAACTACTCGAAAAATTTACACAGCCTAGCAAGAGCAAGACCTGAAAATTTTTACATGCATTTTAAAATACTGGGATCCGCTCCCGACCTATTATTCTACATGCATGGGACCTACTCCCAACTTGATATCCTAAATATCAATAACTACAAAATTTTGTATATTTTGCCTTGCAAGGAACCAGGTCTACACCACGCCACTGGGTGAGGACGAGACACATTATCCGGATTACCTCTACTCGGACGTCGCTCATACCACCACCGGGCAACCTTGCCCCCGCGCTGACTACTTCCGTCGCTTCGATCAGGCTTCTTCGCCTCCATGGCTTAGTCGCCACTAGGCTCAGGGGCTCGGCCATCGTCACGGCTTAGTCGCCTCCACTCCAACTGCTCTGGCAAAGATGGAATTCTAGGAAGGAGTTCACCCGGCATACTACATCTCAACGAGGCAACATGCCACGCTCTTTCCAGATTTTTCATCAACGACCAGCAAACAAGCGAGGATTCCGTGATCAACGTGGCCGTGCAAGCTAGTTGAGGCTCGCATGCATGCATCAGATACAGATATATTGGTGAGACCTGCATGTACGGCCATACAAGCAAAGCCATAAAATCTACTCGGCAAAGCATCCTCGACGGCAAGCTACTCGGTCACGACGGTCGACATCACACCTATGGGCTTCCAGCTCAAACAACGCTGGCTATTTCGGCTCCTGACTCCTAGTCTCCTAGAGTAGCGGATCCACCGGAAGCAGCATATTGAATTCAAGTGGGATCAGATGGAGGCTGCTACACGAAACGCGCTCGGACTACTCGTCTTCGGGCAGACTTGATCTAGTCGGATAAGGAGCCGATCAACAGCAGCAAACATGAAGACGCACGGTTAACAGCAGCATGCAAGAAGAGGTCATGCAAGCAAGCTAATTATGGAAATCATAAGGATATGGAGGCTTCCACGTACAACAAACTAACAAGCTAGGGTCCAGACGAGATCCGTACAAGCTAACTGTGGACATGCATGATACTCCAGCTCGCATGCATGCACGAACATCTCTAGCATACACGTACAAGACCAAGCCACCAAGGCATGCACATACAGGAATAAATTCCCTCGCTGCTGTTGCCGCACGGCTTTCATCAACGTGTGAGATCAACATCGGCTACTTGGCAACAATGAGCACTAGCAGTCTCAGCTGGGCAAGATTATTCGATCGATCACCTCGAGAAGCAACCGATAATGCGGAGCGGGCACGGCCGTGTCCACCTGGCCTCGTCCAACTCCGACTACTCCTGCCCTCGTTGTCAATAGCTCCGGCTATTGTCGTCTGCATACATGGCGGTCATCACCGTCAACATGCAATGACTCTGGCCGTTCCTTCCCACTACTCAGACGGGTGGCCTCGCTGCTACCTTACGTCCGTTACAGAGATCGGCCGGCTATCACGCTGCCACACATCTCTACTACAAGGTACACAACCTAGCGTTGTTCACACCTTCGACAAGTAGCCGTACTGCTACTTTCTAACTACGAGATAGGCCGGCTATCCATGCTGCCTCACATCTCTTCGACTATGATGTCGCCACCCGGCACGCAACCTTGACAAGTTGCATACGCTGGATACTTGGCTATATTGCCCTCGTCAACAATGGCTCCGGCCCACGTCATCAGCATATAACGGCTCCTGCTGTTGATTCAATTATAAGGCATACAACCCAATGTTATTCACGCCTTAGACAGGTAGCCATGCTGCTACATCCGCTAACAGAGATAGGCCTGCTACTACGTTGCCACACATCTCTATGTTCCTTCCTCCTACAAGGTACACAACCCAATGGCTGTTTACACCTTTCCTGGGTACTCATACTGCTACCCTTTACTTATACGAGATACGGTGGCTATCCACGCTGCTACCTATCTCTCCGACTATGATATCGTCACCCGGCACGCAATCTGGACAAGTTGCATACGTTGGATACTGGGCTATATTGCCTTTTTGCGAGATACGCCTCCTACTCGGATGGCCTACGTCTCTATGGCCGGGAGCCAATTACCGACATTTAGTCT